GGATGGGTGGGGGGCAGCAAAAAACCTAGAACTGTCCCTGTCATTCACAGCAAGCTGCAGGCTTCAGTTCCATACTCCTTCCGCCTCCCTTTTCTGTTGCTAGCGGCCGAGGGAATGCTGGGAAATGTAGTTCTTTCCCTGCTCCCAGGGCCCCCTGTTGGTTCTGAGCTCCCATGCTGGATTCCTACGCCCCTGCAAATATGCCACCCCAAGCAACTGCTTGCTTTGCTGGTGCCTAGAGCCGGCCCTGATGCTGACACACTCTCTGTCCCCTAAAACATACTGTCTCTCCCCCACCTCCATACACACACACACTCTCTGTCACACACTCAGCCCACCCACCCTACAGTTGAAAAGCAGCTGTAGTAGGATGCCATGGAACAATGGGATTGGGAAACCTACATCATGTTACACTGTGCCTGCCCCATAAGGCATTGCAAACCTTTCCCAAAGCACCCTGCGGCTAGTTGCACAGTGGGATAGCTACCACAATGCACTGCTCTCTTTGCCCTTGAAAGAACTGCTAATGTGGATGCGTTCCACCGTCACAAGAAGCACAGTGTGGACACGCAACAGCGGTTTATTCCAGCGCTTTAGTAAAAAAGTGGTATAACTTGTTGAGCAGAAACTTGACAGTGTAGACATACCCATAGATGGGCACTATATTTGCCCTTTCCCAGTCTTCTGGAATCTCCCTCAGCTTCCATGACTTTTCAAAGATAATCACTAGTGGCTCAGATATCTCCACAGTCAGCTCCTTGAGTATTCCAGGATGCATTTCATCAGGCCCTGGTGACTTGAAGACATCTAATTTGTCCAAGTAATTTTTAACTTGTTCTTTTCCCTATTTTACCCTCTTCTGATACTACCTCATTTTCCCTGGCATTCACTACACTAGACGTCCAATCACCACCAACATTCTTGGTGAAAACGGAAACAAAGAAGTCATTAAGCACTTCTGCCATTTCCACATTTCTGTTATTATTCCTCCCCCCCCCCCCACCATAAAGTAATGGGACACAGACTAAACCAGTTCACACCTGGTGCTGACAGAGTGTGTAGGTGACAGTTCTAAAGGTGCAACATCCAGTTCCAACTTTCACAAGTACAAAGCACAAGTAAACAGCACAGCTCCTCTCTGCTTCTCTGAATTACCTGCTTCCGTCCCCACGGGAAAATCATTGTAACAGACATTTCCCCTTCCCAATTCTTCCAACACTGGTACATTTCTACATACAATTCCCAGCACTTCAGGTGAGAAAACCCTCCGGGTGGGACTTTCACAGCTCCCTTGGGGATTTGCACATTCGGTGCCCATTACTTTAAACAAAAATTGGGCATTCAGATCCCTTAGGCAGCTATGAGAACCCCAGCTCCCTATAAACAGATAAATCACCGAAGGACAATTTCTGCCTTTTGGGACTAAAGGAAAAAAAACCTACAGCTGAGCACTTATACTACAACAGAGAGTTCATTGCTCTGTTGCTATAGCAGGATCTCAGGCTGAACAAATCTTAGGCTGTGTCTACACTGCCACTTTCAGCACTAAAACTTTAGTCATTCAAGGGTGTGAAAACCCCCCCGAGTGACAAAAGCTTTAGCGGTGAAAAGTGCCAGTATGCTGCTCCCAGCGATAAAGCCACCACTGCTTATTCGGGGTGGGGTTTTTATGCTCCCGGCGATAAAGCCACCACTGCTTATTCGGGGTGGGGTTTTTATGCTCCCGGCGATAAAGCCACCACTGCTTATTCGGGGTGGGGTTTTTATGCTCCCGGCGATAAAGCCACCACTGCTCATTCGGGGTGGGGTTTTTTATGCTCCCGCCGATAAAGCGTGACTACACTGCCACGGCCGCACTGTAACATGGGCAGTGTAGACATACCCTTAGGGTAGATAAGGTAACAGCTAACCCTTCCATTTGCACAGCCACTACTCTGCCCATCCACAGCTCCTGCATGGGGAGATGGGAGGTGGGGGGTTCATGCACAGACTGAAGGGCAGAATTGGGCCATAAGTTCCCCCTGCCCAGCTTTGCATTCTGGTTTTCCTGCAAGCAGCCAAGTTACATATGTCGGCGCTCCAAGCCCAGCAACCTGAGCCTCACAAGGTGTTTCAAACGGAGCCAGGCTGATCCCCAGGGAACAGTTCAGAATCACGTTCGACTGGGATCCTTGAGTGAGATCTGAAGGGGTGAAACCACTTGACACTTCTTGGTTCAAACATGATCATAATTTATTCAGCTCCCCCTTCACCCTCAGCCCAGCTCCCATTGCCTGAAACTCCTCCAAACATTGAATCAAAGCCCCTTAATCCCTCTATCTTTACTTTTGGTTTTGTTTATATCTATCTATCTATCACCAAATTCCCCCCTTTTCTTACTTCACCTTTCACTCTGTGTTGCCTCCAGAAGCAGTAACTGGCCAGGCCAATGAGAACAGCCAGGATCACCCATAGAGCCACCATCCAGGGATTGACCCTTGGGAAAAACAGCTCTGCAAGAGAAAGTGCCATTGACTTGGGAGCAAACGCGCAGAATGAAGGCAGGACACTGTGACAGTGGTGATGCTGTGACTAGTTAAGAGTCTCACAGGGTAATACACAGGGAGATGTGGCTGCTTTGTGCTTAAGCCAATCAAACCCAAGCTTTAGCCTGGTTACTGAACATGGGTAATTAATGGGAGGGGGTGTGTTGAGGGAGGGGAGAGGGTAAGGAGGAGGTAGGGGGCAACTCCATTATGCTACACCATCCCCCACTGGCGTAAGTTCAGGCATTCCCTAGGCTGCTCTAACTGATCCCAAGGCTGAAGCCAGTGCAGACTGGATCTCAGAATCAGAGAGCTGTGAGGCGCCTCCTGACACCCCTGTGCTCACTGGGGTTCAGCCACATGAAAGAATCTGGCCCAAAATATGTTAATGCAGGATTTTAATAAAAACAAAACTGAGCCTGGAGATTTAGAGTAAAAATTCCCCCAGCGTCCTCTTTCCTGGGCCTTGGAGCAATGGCTGACTAGAGGGTTCTTGCTAAGTGATTAGTGTGGTGTATTGAAACCATGTAAAAATTACAAGTTCACACTTGAAATCCTGAGGGGATTCCTGGTCCTGCTGGCAGGCTAGGGGGCTCTGTAGGGAGCATGCATCTGGGTCCTCTGCAGTCAGTCTGCAAAGAGCCAGCTTAGAGCAGGGTGGGTTTGGTTCTCCCTCTCTGCCTTAGGGAGCAGCCTGCTTTCTCTCTCTCTGTATTTGGCTGTGGCATGTTAGAGTTCTGGATTCTTAGAAATAAAGCAGTGTGACATTGCAGCCTTTCAGGAAGAGTATTTATGTTTTGTTTCTAACTCTCCGTGTGTGCCGTGAACATAACAATCAGGTAATACTGGGCATATCATAGACTAACCAGCAGTGCAGCACTATGAGACCTCAGACAACTGGTGCTTTACCAATACAACATTCTTACTATTATAGTGATGAAATATTCATTCGATAGTAACCAAGTTATTTGGTAGATAATAACACATAAAATCACAACCTTTTTTTCTACAAATTAAGGTGCTCTGAGGTAAGATTTTGTTTCTGCATATTTTGGGCCTGAACTTTTATTGCTGGTAGATTCAGATGTAATCTAAGTAGCAATGCTCAGGCCATATTCAGGGCTCTCTTGTGCTAGTCAGGAAAAATGACTTTATTACCCAGATTTTCATAAATATTTAGCACCCACAACTCTCACTGAGAATAAAGGAGAATTCCCTCCCCCAGCCCCACAGAGAATTGTGATGTTCACAGCGTGTGCGCGCATGCACACACAAACACAAAGTGAGATACAAGCATAAATACTCCTGCTGGAAGGTTGCAGTGTATCATGACTTTATTTCTTAGAATCCAGAATCTGAATATACAAGAACCCCAGAACTGAGAGGGAGGCGTCTCCCTAAGGCAGCAGGCACAACTCACCCACCTTTCTCTACGGTGGCTCGTCTATAGGCGCAGTTAGTGCGCGGCAGGCTGGGGTGTAAATCCACCGTGCACTGGCCTGCTGCGCACTAACTGGCTGTGTGCACCCTGCTGCACTGCACTAAAAGTTCCCTGGTGCACTTTGATCTGTTCCCGTTTTAAAGTGGGGAATTTTTAGTGCATGTAACAGGGTCCAGCCCAAGCTCAGACATCTATACCACAATTTAACAGGCCCTTAGCCTGAGCCAGCTGGCCTGGGTCACCAGCGGGTTTTGAATTGCAGTGTAGACATATCCAAAGAGAATTGAGGTTGTTCGGGATTTTACAAGACGTGCTCAGCACATTGAAGGTTCAGGCCAATAAACAGGAGACACAATGATAAATACTCTCTGCCCATGTCTGCAACATCTCAATCTATCCATGTGCGGCACAGATGGGTACTGACCTGCTATGGAAATCTCTGACTCTCTCGCCTGGTTGAGACGGGGGTTCCTGACAGAGCAGAA